TGCCTTTCCTTTCTTGAACAGTTCTCTATCAATGTCAGCAAGACAGTTTATCCTCTCGAAATTATAAAAGAAAAGAAAAATAGGCAATGGTGAGTGAGGCAAAGTAAGGCTGAGGCCAAAATCCAATCACTTCTAGTGCTTCTAGGAATGGGTTATCTCACAGCCATACAGCACCCTGCTAGCTGTTACTACACTTATAGCAGTGATGAAAAACTCTACATTCAAACTACAAATAAAACAACTAAAAAAAAATATCAAGCCCCTCTAATACAAACATACAAATAAATTAGACTATTGGTGGTGGTATATCTTTCTGCCTTCAGTAAAAGTTAGTGAATTTTATTGGTATCAGGTAAATTAGCTTGTATGTTCTCAGTTGTTTTGTAGAAACTTTAACAATCAAAGAGATACTTGCAATGAACAACATAACAAAAAGTGATTTCTTAAACACATCTGTAACACAAGTATTCAAACAGTTTTGATCCATGGCTTTAAAACGCGTAGTCCCTGCAAGAAAAGCACAACTTCTAGAGCTCTCACATTTGTCCCCAACCTGACAGCAGCAATGAAGTTTATTTTACAGATACAAAGTAGCCCAATAAACTTTTGGATAAGAACCCAATTTTGAAGACAGAAGCCATACTGCAATTCAACAGCACTGTTCCTGTTGTATGTTTGTCTTTCCATTGATTGTTACATCAGTGTATTAAATTAAGAAATTAAAAATGTATTCTAAATTTTACAATGGAAGACTCTGAGCTATAGCAGTACACACATAATGATTTCCAGGCATGTCTGCAAAGGAAAGTAAGCTAGAGATGATAAATTGTAACTACATAAACTTCAAAATATGTAACTGAATGAGTGGTGGGGTCAGTGAAACAAGGTGGGTGAGGTGAGGTAATATTTTTTATTGGACCAACTTCTGTTGGTGAGAGAGACATGCTTTTGAGCTTACACAGAGCTGAAGAAAACCTTGTCTCTCTCACCAACAGAAGTTGGTCCAATAAAAGATAATACTTCACCCACCTTGTCTCACGAATATCCTGGGACCAGCACAGCTACAACAACACTGCTGGAGTCAATGTCCAGGGTTAGCAACCTGCTCTTAATCTTTCACACTTTATTTAGGCGCTTTATACTAACACAGGGCATTTTACAAGTAACCATACAAGGCTGCTTTAAGTTTTTAAATGTGCTTGTCTAATGCACTTTTCACATTCCAACAGAATACATTCTGTACTCTATTTATACCATTTGCTGCAGTATGCATCATAATCCTGATAGTAATAAATACATCAAGCTGTCTCATGTTGCTTGAAATGAAAAACAACAAATATTTAGTATGATTACACTTTATACACACAATCATTTAATGATTTTAATGAAAACCAATTGAAAAAATTGCATTATTAGAGGTAGTTAAGATTACGTAAGCAAGGGTGCTAATGTTACATCAGCTGCAGTAAATCAGAACCCTACAATAACAAACAATAATACCCATGCAACGAAGCAATGACAGTTCAGTAAATAATAGATTTGTTTCAAACTTCTAAGATGGTATAATAAACAGTGAGAAAAGGAGAAGTCATATGTCCTTTTAAGATACAATAAGTCTTATTAAATCAAATGGCAATTTAAGGGGGTTGTTTGTACATATGCTTTGGTGGACTCTGGAATATTAACAAATACAGATGCTAAACAGGCAGTGCTGAAGTGAACAGCTAATCAACATATTTCTCATAACTGTATTAATTAAGTGCATATTTGAAAGCTCTGTCATGACTTAAGGACACAGAAGACCAGTGTGAGTTTGCTAAATTCTTCTATTAACTGGCTGAGCAGCAGAATTTATTTTTGTAGATTTTAGAGGGAGGGGAAGAACAGCTGCTATTTTGATTTCTCAATGCCAGAGTGATGGATATTAAAGCAGGTGAGATATAGAGAGTCCAGACAGAATTTCTCATCATATTATAACAATGTAAAGGGACGCTGTCAGGTCAACTATGTCCCAGAAGTGAGACACATAAGTAAAGACCCTTCCAGAACCACCTGAAATCATTTCATGGTTTGGAGGGGGGGGGGGCGGTGAGGAGGGGGAGTGTCTTAAATTCCACTGGAAAATGCTTTTAAAAAAATTCCCTTGAAGTGTTTGGGTTGTAATCACTGCAGCATGCTGTTAGTACATGGAATCTGAAAGTAAAATTGAACAGACACTGGCTGGAAACAAAATAAAACAAGTATTTTCATTGTGCCAGGTGAAAGAACTGCACATAATTAAATAAATAGCATAAATAATTAGTACGCTAGATTTAAGCATTTTTAATAATCTGAGGTGATATGTTCTATACTTTTTGTAAACATATTTACCCTTGTCAGTTTCCTTTTTAAAATATTAGTTCAAAATTTAATCTAAACTACTCTACTGTGTCCCCAATAGAAATACCCCATTAATCTCTATTGTAAAGTTAATGAGGTCACTGAAGTAAATGGAGTTACACCAGGGATGGATCTGTACAATCAAGTGGTCTACAGTACAGTAAGTATGATAAAATCTTTAGTTATTTTAAAGGGAAAAGTATTTTCCTAACTGTAAGAATCTTTAAGGATAAAAGCAGAGTTTTGAGAAATTGCAAAAAGTTGAGTGCTAAGGAATAATAACTCCATTTAGCACTATTCTACTTAGGGGTCTCTTATAAATACAATAAATGTGTTTATAGGTCTAAGAAGCTTATATAATCATATTTTGACATGTACAGGCAGCAATTGTATGGTTTGTTTTTTAATCCAGTCACAGAGTAGGGTCCCAATGCTCTCGTCTCTCCAGGAAGCATGACAGTCCAGCTGGGTGTTGCTTTGATTGCCTGGCCAGTTTTTAAACTCGTTTTGAATCTGTGGAGTTTAGTTTGAACAATTACTTCACAATACTGGGGCAAGACTTACTGCCATGGTATTAGGTATCTGGCAGAGGGAGCAATTTAATTTGGGTTTCCCACATCCCAGGTGAGTGCTCTAACCAATGGGCTAAAAGTTATAGTGGGAACCATGCCCACCGCCTCCTCCGGCTGGCTTTTGAATGGGACATTTGAGCACTCCTACAGCAGCAGACCCCGCACACGATTTAGACGGCTGAATCCCTGTCTTCCCTGGGACTCAGGCAGGAAATCTGGGCTTGACCGCATGCCCAGAGGCATAAACATAGGTGCCTTGGGAACTTTTACCCTGAAACGTTAGGTGTTGAGTGAGTTTAGGCACCTACAGAGTTAGGCAGGAGTTTTGTGCACTGCAGTAGAGCCATCCCTGGCACTTAGCACCTAGCTCCTTTTGTGCATCGAGGCCAGAACGCCTCATTCGTTGAGTTGCTGAGCACTCTCGACTGCCTTTGTACTTGAATGGAAGTTGAGGGTTCTCATCATCTTACAGGATTGGGTCCATAATGCTGCTGCGGGATTGACACTTGATCATTACCGGTTAGGTTCACTCCCTCTGGGACACCTGGCATTGGCCACTGTCAGAGGACAGGATACTGGGCTGGATGGACCTTTGGTCTGACCCATTATGGCCATTCTTATGTTCTTATGACACGGTGGAAAATGGCAAGACTAGCAAAAATGCATTATGGTGCATTTAAAAACTGGGATGGATTTGTAGAAATGAAGGAACAAACAGATGCTCTCTCTCCACCCCTCATCCCACCCAAACAGCATCTTTAATGTAGTTAGAAATCTTGTAGGAGTTAGGAAACTTGTTTTCGCAGTGAAGTACCACAATTTCTAAGCATGATTGGAGACAGTGCTCTTTCTTTCACCTTTCATCTCTTTATAATAGTTTATAATAATCAACCATGGGGCAAGAGTCTTTTTATTGGTGGTGATGAGAGTTAACAGTTACTCGCGGTAGGATGGTGAATTCAATTTATTAAGTATTCCAGTGTTCCTGAAGCACAGTGATTGCAAAAGTACTATTAGTTAGCCCCTACTTAGGGATTTTCATCTTCAGAGTGCAGTACAAACTTCAACCAATTTAATTCTAAAGCAAGAGTTCCTGTTTGAGAATGTGGAAATGGGAGGAAAATACTTACAATAGAAAAGATGCACAGAGTGAGAGTGTTCTGCATTAAAAGAAGACCCCCAAACACAGATTTCCTACCAAAACGAAAGCCACATACTTTTACTCTCTTGATCTATTTTTCCTCTTTACTTATTTTCTTCTTCATTAAAAGTCATTTTCTGACACACAGATCTGCCCTCCAGCTTCACATTTTAGAAACCAAAACAGAAAGTGCAAAGAGCTCTTGAAATGGAAGCAAAATGTAAAAAACCATGAGCACATTCAGCCTCTGGGGGAAGAGGCCCTTTCCTAGGAGTCCTGGCAACAGAGAAACTAGACATGATCATCTGCTACCATGCAGTGGGAAAGCCATGGTGGTGCACCCTTCATAGGTGGGTCTTAGACCACTTTGACCCCTTTCAGCTCTGTCTTTCCAGGAAAAAATAAATTAACTTTTTTCTAGGGATTTTCACTACTCTGAGCTGTGCTCCAGATCCAATAATGTATGTTTATACTGCAATGTTCTGTGCTTCCACACCATTCTATTGTTCCTGACATCCAATAGCAAAGGTCGGATGCAGATCAGGATGAGCAGTCTTGTTCGAATGTGCAGTTACTTGCATTTCTAATTCTGAACTCAGCACACACAACAGTGGGGCAGATTAGCTGTGTCTGACTTGCACATTGCTCTATAACTTGGTATTCAACCCCAAGAAACACTGCTAATAAAACTGAGTAAAATGATGCTGTCCCAAAGAGCTGCTGGCAATATATCAGCCAGAGTGATCACAAATGATGTGTCTCTGTCCCTCTGTTCATTTGACACAGATATCCTGTGCACTACATCAACCCCCTTGAACTCTCTTATCCCTCTGAATGCAGAACTTTAAGTCACCTGATGGCTATGCTGTATGATTTCACCAAAAATCTAAGCTAAAGTGTTGTTTTTGGCATTTCAATTAAGGGACTATAATATTTCAATATGAAAATTATATTTATCAGTTTTATAGTTCTTATCTTCATCAGGCGCTGATTTTGTCTTTCACCAGCCAGCTTGTTTCTCAATTGTGCTTGTTACAATGTCCAATTATTTAATAGTAACGGGAACTTCTTAGGCACTGGACAACATGGTGGATGTAAAGATCTGTTGCAAGATCTGGGGGATCTGCTTGGTATCCATGGCAATAAAAGACCGGCCTGCTGGTAGCATCTTCTGCAGCCTAGGGATCAGAATGGGAAGGGAAAAAGAATTACCATTGCAAATTATGTTCCTGACAGCAAACCAAAGAGTCCTGAGAGTTCCTTAAGAAAGGATGTTTTTACTTTTGAATACCTTGCTGATACATGCCATTCACACTGCTGTCACTATGCAATTAAAAGCTTGGGAAAGCAGCAGCGCAAGGAAACACTGAAAGGGGTTATGTCACAGAGGTCTTTTCAGCAAGACAACTGACCTGTTTCTACAGATTTCCATTCCTTTGTTATTGTCCCTATTTCTGGTGTGTGAAAATCTCTGCTGAGATTAAGGTACCAGTGACCAAACAAGGTACAGTATTAGCACAGCTGATCTTCTAGAAACAACTAAAAACTCACTCTCTGTGGGGGGATCGTTTAGTTCATTTAAAAATGTTACTGTACTAACCTAAGTGTTTGGTAAACCTTAACTCCTCCACCCCACAAAAACTACAGATTTTTTCTGAAGTTTTATATATTGGCTATAAATGTGCTGTTGATATTTCAGCTTCTAGCCTACAATAGGTTAAAGTGAATTCATGTTTTACTACAGCTGCTAGCCCGAGGCCTAAGGTAGTCAGCTTTGTACATTTTTATTCAATGCTTTTAACAGTATAAAAGATACACATTACAAAATTCACATCACTAATATTTAATCAGCAGTTTTGGTGTATACTATTTCACTGAATTTTTAAAACAAGTTTTAATTTATATTTGTGTCCCACTGTCATTTCCCCATAGACTATAAACTCAATCCCAGAGATCTCCCATTTGAAATGAAAATATAAACCATGTGGAAATATATAAGCCATGTGGAAAGAAAAAACTAATAAAAGTAACTCCCCTCCCCCCTAATATTATATTTGAAAGGAAAGCTTTGCTTAATTATGCACATACATGCAGTTGTATTTCAGTGGTACTGTGCCATGTATATATATATATATATTTTCTATATCTAGTAAATTGGGCAAATTGATAACCTCTTTTCCTCATGGATGAATGTGGATGATGAACCCATTTTTCCAGTAGGAAAAATAAAACTCAATCTCCAATAATATTTCAAACTAGGAGTTCTTTATGGGGAACACAAACAATAGATTGATGGAACCTGCAGAAATTCAATGCACTGCGCACGTTCCAAACCTTTTAAAATTATACCACATGCTGTGACCTAACTCCTTCTGGGCTTGATCCTACTACCCTTTCAGTCAATGACCTTTTTTTTTTTAAAAGCAGAATTGGCCCTTTAACATTAGTGGTAACTGGCACATGTTTACGATAGAGATAATAGCTTTGCGTTGTATGTACTGGCGACTGGGCAGCAGATGCAGAAGGTTGGTTTGTATAAAAGTTCTCTGTCTTCCCTGTACCATCTCAAGCTATGACTAGGGCCCTACCAAATTCCCGGCCACGAAAAACGCGTCACGGACTGTGATATCTGGTTTCCCACCATGAAATCTGGTCTTTTGTGTGCTTTTACCCTATACTATGCAGATTTCAGGGAGGAGACCAGCATTTCTCAAATTGGGGATACTGATCCAAAAGGGAGTTTCGGGGGGGGGGTCGCAAAGTTATTTTAGGGGGATTGGGGTATTGCCACCTATAACTTCTGCGCTGCCTTCAGAGCTGGGCTGCCAGAGAATGGCAGCTGTTGGCTGGGTGCCCAGCTCTGAAGGCAGCGCCCCGCCAGCAGCAGCGCAGAAGTAAGGATGGCAATACCATACCATGCCGCCCTTACTTCTACGCTGCTGCCTTCAGAGCTGGGCAGCCGGAGAGTGGCAGCTGCTGACTGAGGGCACAGCTCTGCAGGCAGCAGCACAGAAGTAAGGGGAGCAATACCATACCATGCCATTCTTACTTCTGCGCTGCTGCTGGCGGCGGCTCTGCCTTCAGAGCGGGGATCGCAGCCAGTAGTCGCCACTCTCCAGCTACCTAGCTCTGAAGGCAGCGCCATCGCCAGCAGCAGCACAGAAGAAAGGGTAGCAGTACCGCAACCCCCTGTACAATAACCTTGAGACCCCTCCCAACTCTTTTTGGGTCAGGACCCCTACGATTACAACACCGTGAAATTTCAGATTTAAATAGCTGAAATCATGAAATTTATGATTTTTAAAAACCTATGACCGTGAAATTGACCAAAATGGACTGTGAATTTGGTAGGGCCCTAGTTATGATATAGGCCAGGGGTCGGCAACCTTTCGGAAGTGGTATGCCGAGTCTTCATTTATTCACTCTAATTTAAGGTTTCGCGTGCCAGTCATACATTTTAACGTTTTTAGAAGGTCTCTTTCTATAAGTCTATAATATATAACTAAACTACTGTTGTATGTAAAGTAAATAAGGTTTTTAAAATGTTTAAGAAGCTTCATTTAAAATTAAATTAAAATGCAGAGTCCCCCAGACCGGTGGCCAGGACCCAGGCAGCGTGAGTGCCACTGAAAATCAGCTCGCGTGCCGCCTTCGGCACGCGTGCCATAGGTTGCCTACCCGATATAGGCTAGGAGCCATAATCAGAAATATAGTTAGTTTTTAGGCATCCCTCACATTGCTAAACATCTCCCGAGTTTTAGTTTAATCTACTTCGGATTAGACTATGTACATGTATTTTTAACTCCCACTTAGGGAAGAGTCCAGGGGTGCTGATTTGTGGCCAAAACCTTAATTCCATGCTGGATTTATGTCTTTGAAAGCCCCTACCTTAGAGCTGGAGAACTGAATGGACACCCTTTTGATGCCACCAATGCCCTGAACTTGCTGGAAAAAGTTGCTGTTAAGTAGCATAAAGCCTATGCTGCCACCACTACTCGCAGCAATATATTTACCTGTCTGCCTGGTCTCCTAAGGATCCTATGAATATGGCAAAAGCATTAACTTGAGGGTTGATGGTCAAGGTTTGGGCAAATCTTGCTGGTGGGATACCATATCGTTCAAGGTTTGCATCGCTCAAGACTATGACAAAATATTCATCAGCCTCTTCTTTGGCAATTTCACGAACAGCATGCTCCGTCCCTTCCAGAGTATGGTCTCCACTCATACAGAATTGAGCATGGGCATGCATTATCTGGGTACACAACAAAGTCAAAAGGAAATGTACAGAGAGAACTATTCCAAATAAAACACACATTTAGTTGGTATGAAAAGGAGCAAACATTCTTCTAAGCCATATTAAGTGAAACACATTTAGAAATGTGCACCTTGCTCCTTATTTTAGAGAATATGCAGCATTTTAGGGTTCAAAGGTTCATTTCACTCAATACAAACATAAATTCTTAAAATCCAATTTGCAATGTCAGAACTGGAAAAATCACACGGAGGGAATTTAGCTTTCAGAACTAGAGAGTGAAGAAGTAAAACACTTTAGTAGGCTGGAGATTGGGTTTCCACATTGCTATAGATCTGAGGGAGAATACCCTGACCAAATCCCACCTGTTCATAATGTATATTAGACTCATGCAGGGGTCGGCAATCTCTGGCACGCAGCTCACCAGGGTAAGCACCCTGGCGGGCCGGGCCAGTTTGTTTACCTGCCGCGTCAGCAGGTTCGGCCGATGGCGGTTCCCACTGGCTGTGGTTCGCCATCCCAGGCCAATGGGGGCTGCGGGAAGCCGCGCGGGTGAGGGATGTGCTGGCTGCGGCTTCCCGCCACCGCCATTGGCCTGGAGGGGAGAACCGCGGCCAGTGGGAGCCGCTATCGGCTGAACCTGCCGATGCGGCAGGTAAACAAACTGGCCTGGCCCGCCAGGGTGCTTACCCTAGCGAGCCGCATGCCAGAGGTTGCCGACCCCTGGACTAATGGACTTCAGTATGAAGTGTTATTACCAAATATAAGACTCATGATCAGATTAAATAATTTTGTTGCCCTCTGCACTGTGGAAAATGGGCTCCCCCCACCTTTCTTAAAGTGCTTTCGTTCCATACATGCCACCACCCCACAGATCACAGAATGCCCCTCTCTCCCCACCCCACACACAGACCCCTGAATGCGTCTCCTATTCCACATATATCCACAACCCTACACCAGTCCCTACTTATTCTGACAGCCACCCACATATCCCAGCAGCCCTAACATACATCCCACTCCGCAGGCCCCAATATTCTGCACTCACCCCATCGCCCACCAACAACTCTCCCCAGCTCCTCACTGCTGCCCCCCCGACTCAGTGCTCCCTCCCAGGCTAGGGCAGCTTTTCTCATTCCCAGTCGCCCTGCTCCACTTCCTCTCCTTTCCCGGCCCACGTGCACACGGCCTCGAACTGCTCAGGTCTGGCCCAGCCACTCCTCCATCATGACAGAGGGGTGTACACCCCAAATCTGAGTGAGTGATGTTGTGATCTGGTGCACAGGGTGGCTGCAACACTCAGTTTTGTTTTTGTTTGGCGGTCGGGGGCCTCTTTCAGTGGGGCTCCGTGAAAGTGCCCCAAGTGAACATTGGTTAATCTGAGCCTGCTCATGGTGACAATATAGACTTTAACATTATTTAAACATATGGTTTACAAAACAAGAGAGAAATGTGTTATTCTGCATTGGAGAATGTGGAGGACAAAGCCATTTCCTATGAAAAAGTTAGGGAGTTTGGTCAGTGGAAAACCCAGTTCTCCTAGTCTAATACAACGGCCTATTTCTGGAAAAAAAAAAAAAACCACTTAGTAAGAGACACACTGATTTAGAAAAGAAAGATTTTCCCATGAAACTGTCAGCTTAAATATACAGTTCCACAGCACCATTCTGTTAATTAGTTAAATTCTATGTTATAGTCAGATTTTCTGCTGCTTTGATGTAGCAAAGGTTTCCTAATTACATTTACAGTACATGTTCACTTTGCAATGATGGTTTAACATCTTTTCAGTCTAGGAGTTTACATACTCTTACTGCTATTACAGCACTTTATGGCTTCCAAGGACTGTACAAACAAGTATTAAGGATCTCCCCCAGAGTTTCCCTCATCAGTGGCTACATGTTAACAATAATATCTTTTATTAATGGAGAGCTTTCCATATAGCTGTACCAACTGATCAGTGTGTATGGAACTTCCTGTGATCATTAATGGACTGTTTAGGACAGTTCAAGAGAGATGCATCGTTATTCTATTCTATTTTTAAAAGTCTAAAAGGTTTTTCCCCAGCTTCATATACATACATGGCTCCTCATATCCCTCCTTCGCCTCCCTTCCAGCAACTTCCCTTCTCTTTACTTTTTGTATTCTGTGACATGTAGGAACTTATCCTCAGTATTGTAGAATCCTTGATTATCCAGAGCTATTTATCAACAGGATTTACCTTAATAATCTCTAATCTTTGCTTATTGTTCTTGGGAACTTTGTCACTCCCAACCAATGCAATGTTGAAGCCATCTCCTGAATGTCCAACGATATCGTACTGCAGGAAAGAGAATGAAAGAGTAATCTGTTAAGAATAAGGAGTGACTGCTGACTCAGAATGACATGAAGTCTGATCAAAGGCAATTTGCTTTTAACTAAAAGATAAATACTGATGGCGGTTTACATTTATGATCAATTTAAAGGAACTGACTACAATTTCTCACTACCACTAAAACACTTTTGCAAGATAAAATTGCCCAAACTAATTAAAATAAGCAGCAGTAACTCATTATATTTCTAGTGTCTGATTCTGACTCATTCCACCAGTTTTACAGTGGTGTTAAGTGAGATTAGAATCTTAGCTTTTCACACTGCCCATTTTATCTGTAGCGTTACAATTTACTTTCTTCTCCCTGCAATCTGGCACACAAGAAGTGGATTGTTAAAGTGTAGCTCTGAGGTTTGACAAGCTGTTTATGTGATCTTGTTCTGATCTGGAAAAAAAAAAAAGTGTTACACACTATTTTTTAAAATCCATCCTTCACTTTTTAGGTCTGCACAACAGATCAAAACTATGGCTGGAAATACACAGAGGGTTGAATTCCAAGAGCCCCATTATGTTTTCTGATTTTTAATAACGATAATAATAGGATTGCATTCAGCATACTTTGGGCTTAGTAGAGGAACAAATCCAGTCACACGGTGAAAACAATACAAAACCATTCAATACTATATCGCTTTCAAAAATTATATATATTTTGTCCAAAACAATATGGGTTACTTTCTAAATTACGTAAAGTGCAGAGATGAGGTTCTCTTGGGTTTAAAGTTGTATGACTCTTTTGTAATGTGCTATCTCTTTGGATCTGGACCTTCTGATTTCTTCTCCGGATAGCTGTTCTGACACTGATGTTAGTGTACCAACTTTAAGGGGGTATTCCATATTTTGCAGCCTGGGAATACCACCCTGCTGCTTAGCACGAGACAATAATGAATGAGCCTTTCACTCTGAAGCTACTGGGTTCAAACTGAATTTAGGTGACTTGTGAAAATAGGCTTTGAGTAGCTCCTAGTCCAGGGATCGGCAACCTTTGGCATGCGGCCTGCCAGGGAAAGCACCTGGCGGGCTGGGCCGGTTTGTTTACCTGCCCTGTCTGCAGGTTCGGCCGATCGCGGCTCCCACTGGCCTTGGTTCGCTGTTCCAGGCCAATGGGGGCTGCGGGAAGCGGCGCGGACCAAGGGATGTGCTGGTCGTCCTTCCCGCAGCCCCCATTGCCTGGAATGGTGCCGCAGACGCAGTAGGGCTTTCCCTGGTGGGCCGTGGGCCAAAGGTTGCCGATCCCTGTTCTAGTCCATACATCACAAAACCAAGCCACAGTTTGGTATGTTTCTCATCCCTGTATGAGAGAGGTCCACGACTAGTGTATATGGGCAACTGCAGGCCGAGGCTAAAAGGTATCTGAAAAACTACTTGGAAGCTTGAGCACCTTGCTGCAGTAGGACTGACTTAATCAGTGCTATTAGTCTCACACTTTAAGAATCATTGGCACGGAAAGGCTTAAGAAAGCAGCTTCCCAAATAACAGCTATTATAAAAAGAAGTCAAATGCAGAACATCTTGGCCTTCCATTTATCTTTCAATGTCTAGCAGCAGAAGTAGAACCCAAAATGCTTTTTCTCATGAGTTCCATTGGGAGTAAAGATTAAGTAAGAATTAAGGACTTTGGGTGTGATCCTGGTGGAAGCTTTTATTTTTTTTTTTAAACACAGTGCAAGTTAGCCTCACACATTAGCCTCACAAGCATGGTTGCACACACAAGGGAGATTAAAGAGGCTATAAACATAAAAAAAATCAATAATAATGGGGGATATCAACTATTCCCATATTGACTGGGTATATGTCACCTCAGGACAGGATGCAGAGATAAAGTTTCATGACACCTTAAATGACTGCTTCTTGGAGCAGATAGTCCTGGAACCCACAAGAGGAGAGGCAATTCTTGTTTTAGTCCTAAGTGGAGCACAGGATCAGGTCCAACAGGTGAATATAGCTGATCCACTTGGTAATAGTGACCCTAACATAACAAAATGTAGCATCCCTGGGGGAAGGGGAACACCAAAGCAGCCCACCATGGTAGCAATTAATTTCAGAAAGGGAACCTACACAAAAATGAGGAGGTTAGTTAAACAGAAATTAAAAGGTACAATGCCAAAAGTGAAATCCCTGCAAGCTGCATGGGAAATTTTTAAAGACACCATAACAGAGGCTCAATTTAAACGTATATCCCAAATTTAAAAACATAGTAAGAGGACCAAAAAAGTGCCACCGTGACTAAACAACAAAAGTAAAAGAAGCAGTTAGAGACAAAAAGGCATCCTTTAAACAGTGGAAGTTAAATCCTAGTGAGAAAAATAGAAAGGAGCATAAACTCTAACAAATGAAGTGTAAAAATATAATTAGGAAGGCCAAAACCCCCCCCAAAAAACCCCGTGAAGAACAGCTAGCCAAAGACTCAAAAAGTAACAGCAAAAAATGTTTAAGTACATCAGAAGCAGGAAGCCTGCTAAACAACCAGTGGGGCCACTGGATGATTGAGATGCTAAAGGAGCACTTAAGAGAGATAAGGCCATTGTGGAGAAACTAAATGAATTCTTTGCATCAGTCTTCATGGCCGAGGATGTGAGGGAGATTTCCAAACTTGACAAATCTGAGGAACTGTCCCAGCTTGAGGTGTCATTAGAGGAGGTTTTGGAACAAATTGATAAACTAAATAGTAATAAGTCACCAGGACCGGATGGTATTCACCCAAGAGTTCTGAAGGACCTCAAATGTGAAATTGCAGAACTAACTGTGGTATGTAACCTATCATTTTAATCATCTTCTGTACCAGATGATTGGAGGATAGCTAATGTGACACCAATTTTAAAAAAAGACTCCAGAGGTGATCCCGGCAATTCCAGGCCAGCAAGCCTAACTTCAGTACCATGCAAATTGGTTGAAACTATAGTAAAGAACAGAATTATTAGAAACACAGATGAACACAATTTGTTGGGGAAGAGTCAACATGGTTTTTGTAAAGGGAAATCATCCCTCACCAATCTACTAGAATTTTTTGAGGGGGCCAACAAGCATATGGACAAGGGGGATCCAGTGGATAAAGTGTACATAGATTTTCAGAAAGCCTTTGACAAGGTCCCTCACCAATAGCTCTTAAGCAAAGTAAGCTGTCATGGGATCAGAGGGAAAGTCCTCTTATGGATCAATAACCGGTTAAAAGATAGGAAACAGAGGGCAGGAATAAATGGTCAGTTTTCAGAATGGAGAGAGGTAAATAGTAGTGTCCCCCAGGGGTCTGTACTGGGACCAGTCCTATTCAACATATTCATAAATGGTCTGGAAAAAGGGGTAAACAGGGAGGTGGCAAAATTTGCAGATGATACCAAACTGCTTTGGAGTTAACTATCTTGAGTAGACCATGCAGAGTTACAAAGGGATCTCACAAAACTGGGTGTCTAGGCAACAAAATGGCAGATGAAATTCAATGTTGATAAATGCAAAGTAATGCACATTGGAAAACATAATCCCAACTATACATATACAATGTAAAAAAGGGTCTAAATTAGCTGTTACCACTCAAGAAAGAGATGTTGGAGTAATTGTAGATAGTTCTCTGAAAACATCCACTCAATATGCAGCGGCATTTAAATGGAACAGCTTCTATATGAGGACAGATTAGTAAGAGGCTGGGAATTTTCAGCTTGGAAAAAAGACGAGTAAAGGGGGATATGTTGGAGGTCTATAAAATCATGACTGGTGTGGACAAGTCGAATAGAGAAGTGTTGTTTACTCCTTCTCATAACACAAGAACTAGGAGTCACTAAATTAAATTAATAGGCAGCAGATTTAAAACAAACAAAAGGAAGTATTTCTTCATACAACACACAGTCAACCTGTGGAACTCTTTGCCAGAGGATGTTGTGAAGGCCAAGACTATAACAGGGTTCAAAAAAGAACTAGATAAATTCCTGGAGGATAGGTCCATCAATGGCTATTAGCCAGGATGGACAGGGATGCAAAACTATGCTCTGAAGTGTCCCTAGCCTCTGTTTGCCAGAGGCTGAGAATGGGTGACAGAGGATGGCTCACTTGATGATTACCTGTTCTGTTCATCCCCTCTTAAGCATCTGGCATTGCCCATTGTGGGAAGACAGGATACTGTGCTAGATGGATTATTGGTCTGACCCAGTATGGCCATTCTTATGTTCTCCTGAAAGCTGACTTACAGCCCATGTGTGTTACAGCACAAATCAAACAGCCCAGTAATGCTTAAATTGGTGCAAGCTTCTTAGTTGATTATTGCACTACTTGGTGCTGAATTTTCTAATAGCATCAGATGCTCTGTGAAAGATTTTGCTCTATTAAAGCTCTGGGTATACAAACTGTAAAGCACAAGTTTCCCTAAATATTATCTTTCACTTCATTACTTTTCTTGAGAAGTTAGTAAAAGTTCATTCCACTCTGCTGTTAAATACAGCACATACTGTGTTGTTGCTACTGTGCAATTCAGAAAGTGTGCGTGAAATGAGAAAAATTTCATCTTCCACTGCTGCTACCACACTCTGCACCAAGATGTTGCTTTTTTCAAAGCAATAAGGAAAAATGAAAGGCCATGTGTGATGAATGGAAAATGTATTATGAATCAGACAGGCTTTCGCTGGAAGGGATACCAGCTTCCAAATCCCTTCCTGTTCTGGACAACACTAAATATACCCTTTAATATTTGTATTTAGCCTGCCATCCGCTTGACTTTAAAAAAGAAATTATGCTGCCAAGCATTACAAAACATTTCTCCTTTTTCCTCTTCCACTTCCATTTAAATGGCACTGCCTCTAACGTCAGCTTCTCAGCTGTGGCCTCCTGAATTGTGTATACAAAATGTGTAATGCTCCCTTTTAATATCACTATAAATCAAAAACGTAAGGATTTTCACACAATTATATAGCTTGTAGTTCATGGAACCATTTCTGAAGTTTTTAGAAACCCTCATAAAACCTTTGCTACATAGTCTAATAACTAAGTTATGGCTCTTGATCTAAAACCATAGGACTTTGTACTTTATGTAAAGCACAGAACTAACTTCCATTTTAGGAGATATTGCATTTTCAAATAGGTTCAGCATATAAGATGGACAACACTAGAAAAGATGCTATAATAATTTCAAATCTGCAGAATGACTGTTATTATAATGTGTATCCTGCCATTTGCACATATGAAAAGGGTAGATGGATATGCAGGTGCACCTTTTGCATGCATGATTTAGGAGTAGCCTTTAAAAATTTGAGCTCCTGGAATACAACACAGTTAGCAGTGGTAGTAACATTTATTAAACGCCAACAAGGAGTTCAGCCACTTACAGGACAATTGGACGCAGAACGATGCATGTTACCTTCCCCAAGAAACTTAGAATCTAAATAGACAGCACAGAATGCATTGAGAGACTTGGAAGAAGGTTCAGTGTTAGAACTTCATTCTCCTCTCTCCCACTCCTTTAATATGTTGAGTTAGAGGCTAAGCCCTTGTGAGATGCATGGAAGAGGTGATTTTGGAGGAGGAATTTAAAAGATGGCAGTTAATATAGACCAACTGATTCCCTGATTGTAGAAAGAGTCACCCTTCTCTCCCTCTCTGAACAAGGTTGTCCCTATGAGAATTGGAAACAAATAGCCACCTTGGGCATAAAGGAGTACAGACAGACAAGAAATGGCCACTGTCACTCTTCTAACCTTAAATGGATCACTACCATGTTGTCCGTCTTAGAGCAACCACACTGTACATTTTTAGTACTTGCCCCATGATAAGTAAAGTAGCAGAGGAAAAAAAACGTGAGTCTACTTCATTTATCATGTAATCAATATGTCAGGCCCTAAAGACTAATCTGACAACAAGAAAGTCTCATGGGATGGTGACCAAAAGGGTAATATATAGTGAGAAAGCACAGTGAGGAAGGGAAAAAAAGTTCCCTGAATCAGTCCTCTTTTTAGCAGAGAACTAATTAAAGCACCAGAACAAAAAATGGGCATAGGCTGGGGAGTGGTTTTAAGCAGTCAAAAATAGAACTTTAATGACGACAGGAGTAGAGAATTTCAATATGTAATCAGTTTTGAATGTTTTGCTTATAATGCTGCTTCACAGATCCACCAGACCTTGCACCAGAAACTCTTAAAATCTGCCCTTAAATGGCTGCTTCTCTGAGAGATTAGTCCAGTCGTTTTCAACCTTTTTTCATTTGCAGACCCCTAAAAAATGTCAATTGGAGGTGCGGACCTCTTTGGAAATCTTAGACATAGTCTGTGAAACCCCAGGGACCACAGGTTTGAAAACCATTGCATTAGTCTACAACAGGAAGAGGTATCAGCAAGTATCTCCGAAGGTCAACAAATTCTGTCAAATCAAGTTATGGGAAGGACTTGGGGAAAGGTGGAGGGATAAGAGAGAAGAGAAGAGAATGAGGGTCATTTAACTCTTGCCTCTAGATAAGTAAAGTAGCAGAGGGAAAAAAACTGTGAGTCTACTTCATTTATCATGTAATCAGTAAGTCAGGCTACAATTCCCAAATACTCTAAAGACTAGTCTGATAACAAGGAAGCCTTTGTCTCATGGAAGGGAGATAAAAGGATAGTAATATATGGGGGAAGCACAGTTAGCTCAACAGGAGCTCTGAGAGCAACTGTGGCTGGGTGCACCCACTGCCCTACAATTTCATGGGTCCAGGGCTCCCCCATTGCCCACTTGCGTCAATTCTGCTGGTCAGTGCAATGTGAGGCCATATACCCTCATTGCCAACTTTATAGAGAACAGCACTAGTGATGACACTGGTCTTCTGCGGACCGTATGCTCCAATTGTGTCTAGTCCTTATGAAGCAGGAGAGAGAGAAATGGAGGAAGAATAATATCTCACTTGCCCCCGGATAAGAACATCACCTAGGCTGCTCTAATTCAAGATGGGTCCAGCTAATGCAGAATCAGGGAGTTATATCTAGCTCCTTGACAGCTCCTCCCTTCTCCTGTACTGAACAGAGATCTGATGCACGGGAGAACTGAGCTAAGGTCCAACTCAAGTGCAGCAGACATAATGGAAGAGGAGAATGCCGCCTTGGTGTGCCACAAATTTCCAATATCTTATCCACTGCTATTAAATATAAAACGAGCCTTACAGTTCTTTACAAGAGTGGCAATTTTCACAACTAATAATTGTATTCCATTTTTGTATGTCTGTTTTTATAACCCTTAAACTGAATCATAATCTGCACTCATAGTGTTCAATGCTTCCTATCCATGGACTGGTATTATTTTCAGGCTGCTAGCAACAGATTTAATTAAGTCTTTATTTCCTTACATGGATGAATAATACTCTTTGGCTAGACAGAGTAATGAAATACTTTTTTCCACTGCCTGTACGCAGCCTGTGCAAGTACTCATTACCACTAAACTCCTGGCCCAGCTATAGTTACCTTAAACTTGTGCTCGTAATTCTCAAAAGCTTCCATGACCATGCAGACAGCCTCCATGGAACGCTCCAGTCGACCATCTACCCCATTAAAGCGGTACATGCTGCCAGAAACATCCACTACCAGGCGCAAACGCTTAGGCTTCTGCTGAGGGCTACCAAGCTGCGAGAGAAAAGTACCAGAAATAACTTTATGAATGGGAAAGCTACACTTTTGATAAGAACAGAACACTGTAAAAGGAGTCATCGCACACTTTTTCAAAACACTAGACAACAAAAACTCTGTCCTAGCAGGCAAGCTCTCTCTAGCAAGTTCAGATTATTAAAAAAAAAAAGGTGAAATTATTTGAATTTTTCTGATTAATAGTTGAGAAAAAATTATTTTAGATACCTGGATACAGTCTCTCTATTTCTCTGTTTTATATACTCAATGACCAGAAACAAAATGCGATAATTCCACCCATTTATAAGGAAAATACCTTTGTTGCTAGATTTCTAATTAACAACATTTTATTACAATAAAAGGAATCTCAAATTTCCACTTTTTGCCAAGAGTCATAAGGGTAATGCCTCCTTGAATTATGGTACTAAAGGGGACTTGTATAAGATCATAAAGTTTGTCTGCTGAAGTTAATATCTTTCTAAAAATGTGTGAAGTCTTTTTCTGATTAACTCCTCAATTTTGTACATTCTGACTGTAAAGCTTTCCTCATCCCCTCTGCCTCCTCCCCCTTAAATGTCTGTTTTAACAATTTCTGGCACACTAGGTTCTGGAAAGGTATTTTATCCCATATGCAATGAGAGAAGTCTGGATTCAAATGAAAGGCTATTAAAAGATGGTTTGGCAAAAAAACAAATATTTAAAATGTTTATCTGTAACTGATTTCCAAATATTTCTCTTTCATTCAGCAACCATTTGAGAATTTTTAGTTTAGTTTCTTCTTTTTATTATTAATGCAAATGATTGCAATATCAACTCCCCCCTCCCCAATCCCATTGAAGCCCATGTTTATATATTTTTAATTCAAAATGTAAAATTGCCTCCTTAGCATTTTCACTAGGTAAGCTCTTTTTATAATGTATTGAAAAATAAAAAAACAGCACTTTGAAGAGTACTGGAAATTAGGATATTATAGCTTTTCCCTTACTTAGCTCTGATGTAGGATGGCTAGGCTGCATAAGCTGTTCAAAACAACAAATAGTGAGACCATGTAATATGAAAAATAAATGAGAGAGAGTTGTATCAAATATGTATTTAGCTACTGAGAAGAAAGCTATTCTAAATGATTGTTTGCAAAATAAAATTCCTTCACGTGTAAACATTAAAAATTAAAATTAAAAATAATTGGCTATATTAAATCTGGCTATTACAATACACCTCTACCTCGATATAACGTTGTCCTCGGGAGCCAAAATATCTTACCACGTTATAGTTGAAACCGCGTTATATCGAACTTGCTTTGATCCACCGGAGTGCGCAGCCCCACCCCCCCGGAGCACTGCTTTACCGCGTTATATCCAAATTCGTGTTATATCGGGTCGCGTTATATCGGGGTAGAGGTGTATAATGATGATCTAGACCAGTGGTTCTCAAAGCTGGTCTGCCGCTTGTTCAGGGAAAGCCCCTGGTGGGCCGGGCCGGTTTGTTTACCTGCCGCGTCTGCAGGTTCGGCCGATCGTGGCTCCCACTGGCCGTGGTTTGCCATTCTAGGCCAATGGGGGCTGCGGGAAGGGCGGCCAGCACATCCCTCGGCCTGCGCCGCTTCCCGCAGCCTCCATTGGCCTGGAGCAGCGAACCGCGGCCAGTGAGAGCTGCGATCAGCCGAACCTGCAGACGCGGCAGGTAAACAAACCGGCCCGGCCCGCCAGGGACTTTCCTTGAACAAGCAGCGGACCGGCTTTGAGAACCACTGATCTAGACAACTAGCCTTAAAGTTGATTTGTTGGTGTGTGTCAACTGGTTTCTTTTTCAATGACTCATATAATTCTAACAAAAATTTTTTCTGACGAACGTCCAAAATTATGAGTAGTCATAAAATAGTAGATTTTTAAAAGTTTTTATTTAGGTTTTAATTATTCACTCATTTTCTCATTAATTTCACATCAGAATTGTTAATTTGCAAATCCAAAAACCTGAGTGTTGAAAGTTTTCTTATAGTATGATAACGTGTGTTAGTGAGGAAAGACATGTGATAGTCATTTAATTTTATTTGAACTTGTTAACCATCTTTACTAGGCTAGCATAATGAAGCTCAAGGAACTAGTAAACTTGCTAGTTGCACCCACTATTTATGGAATACTTACTTCTGGCTCAAGCTCTCCCCGTCGTTTATAAATAGCTTTTTCTCCTGTTAGTCCATCAATTATTTTGGCATCATCTAGCTCTCCAATAGCTTGGTGTCTCAGCCATTGTCTTTCCTTACCCTTGGCCTACAAAAGAAAAGCATCCTTAATTCATTCAGTGCTGCTGGCACATTTTACACTGTTTAAGAGATACAGAACATGACACAAATATGGGTTTTCTTTGTAATTATCTGACAGCTCTGGCACAAGTTGGTGAAATCCGAACACATTTTCATAAATGCCGGGTATCTCTTGCTGAGAGACTAATTATTGCTGACAAAGTATATATTTTCCCCACAATTTTTGTCACTTCTAAGCCTTTTCACATAGAGATTTTGAAATATGGACCATGTAATCTTTGCATTTTAATTGCAAATATATTGGAAAATGGTACACAAATGAATCTATGCAGAAATCCATAGATTTAGAGGGACAGGCACAACAGAAGTGTTTTCCATCCAGGCACTGTGAGAAAATGTACTGGATGACTAAAACAGAGGCAAAACTCAACAGTATTACGTAAAAATACCTACACTGAAGGAGAACCCTATCTAATGTGGATGACACAAAGCTGGGAGGTATTGCCAATACAGAGAAAGACCAGGATATCATACAGGAAGATCTGGATGACCTTGTAAACTGGAGTAATAGTAATAGGATGAAATTTAATAGTGAAAAGTGCCAGGTCATTCATTTAGGGATTAATAACAAGAATTTTGTTATAAGCATCAGTTGGAAGTAACAGAGGAGGAGAAGGACCTCGGAGTACTGGTTGATCACAGGATGACTATGAGCCGCCTATGTGATTATGGCCATGAAAAAAGCTAATGCGGTCTTGGGATGCATCAGGCGAGGTATTTCCAGTAGAGATAAGGAGGTGTTAGTACTGTTATACAAGGGACTGGTGAGACCTCATCTGGAATACTGTGTGCAGTTCTGATCTCCCATGTTTAAGAAGGATGAATTCAAACTGTAACAGGTACAGAGAAGGGCTACTAGGGTTGATACGAGGAATGGAAAACCTGTCTTATGAAAGGAGACTCAAAGAGCTTGGCTTGTTTAGCCTAACCAAAAGAAGGCTGAGGGGAGATACGATTGCTCAGAGGGATAAATACTAAGGAGAGAGAGGAATTATTTAAGCTCAGTACCAATGTGGATACAAGAACAAATGGATATAAACTGGCCATCAGGAAGTTTAGACTTGAAATTAGACGAAGGTTTCTAACCATCAGAGGAATGAAGTTCTGGAACAGCCTTCCAAGGGGAGCAGTGGAGGCAAAAGACATATCTGGTTTCAAGACTAAGCTTGATAAGTTTATGGAGGGGATGGTATGATGGGATAGCCTAATTTGGGCAATTAATTGATCTTTGACTATTAGCAGTAAATATGCCCAATGGCCTGTGATGGGATTTTAGATGGGGTGGGATCAGGGCCGGCTCCAGGCACCAGCGGAGGAAGCACGTGCATTCTTGGGGTGGCACAGTCTGGGCGGATTTTTTTTTTTTTGCTTGGGGCTGCAAAAATGGTAGAGCTGGCCCTGGGTGGGATCTGAGTTACTACAGAGAATTCTTTCCTGGGTGTCTGGCTGCTGAGTCTTGACCACATGCTCAGGGTTTAGCTGATCGCCATATTTGGGGTCGGGAAGGAATTTTCCTCCAGGGCAGATTGGCAGAGGCCCTGGGGGTTTTTCACCTTCCTCTGCAGCGTGGGGGCATGGGTCACTTGCTGGAGGATTCTCTGCACCTTGAAGTCTTTAAACCATGATTTGAGGACTTCAGTAGCTCAGACATAGGTTAGGGGTTTGTTACAGGAGTGCGTGGGTGAGATTCAGTGGTCTGCGTTGTGCAGGAGGTCAGACTGGACAATCATGATGGTCCCTTCTGACCTTAAAGTTTAAAGTCTAAAGTCTATGATTCTAATGGTCTATGCGTGGTTCCTTTTACAACAGCATTCATAATAATCTTGTATGCAATTTACAATCAAAACATTGCAAATAGTAATGATCAAGACAGTGCACTTTTTGCTACCATGGGTGTTTGTGCTCTGACTTTTAATACTGATGTACCATTCTTTACAGCTCAGTCCTGCTGTCTATACGCTAGTAATACTCCCACTGAATACATCCCCTCTGATGACTGAAGAATTCGGTGCTTAGACAACAGGGCTTAAGTTTCCTCTTAGTGATCTCTCATTGGCCTCACAGACCCTGGTTCTCTCAGTTTGTCTTCCTTTGAAATTACCTCTCATCAGAGATCTTCTGAAGCAGGGACCATGCTTTGCCAATCCCAGAGAAGTTCAAACTGCATGCCTGGAATCTGAGAGGACAGATCTCTGGAACTTTGTACACTCTGGACAGCTATTTGATGACCAACTACAGTCCACAAAAGAATTCTACATCCCAGCCCACTGCCTCTGGCATGTGTTCAAATGTAGGTGTTCTGAACAGGTCCTCAGTTTGAAATCAGTTCTAGCAAAACCTACCTTTGGTTCTTAATTGATGGATTCATTAAAGGTCTGAGCTTTAAAGCCTTACATGTCCAGGTGGCTTTGTTAGAAGTCTTCTGTTTACACTCAGGAAAAGGGATTTAGCTTTACACCCCCATTTCTAGGTTCTCCAGGCAGTGAGAAAATGTCACCCTCCATTTCAAGCCCACATAGCCAACTGGATGCTGAATTTCATAGTGAAACAACTGATGAAACAATCCTTTGGACCAATCGCTATTAGTTCATTGTTTTTCTTGTCTAAGTAACTTTACGTTTGCAAGAAGAATCAGTGAAACAAATACCCTTTTTTCCCCCTGACAGAGTGGGATTATGGACATCAGAACTTCTACCCAAAGTTTTTTCTTCCTATCCTTTAAATCAAGATACAATATTTTCTTCCTTTTTCCCAACCCTTCTCACCATAAGGTGGTGAAGTGCCATTACCTGCTTAGTGATTAAATTCTACTTGGACAGAACAACATCTTTCTTGAAAACAAGTGTCTTATTTCCCAGATGGGCAAGGACAAAGGTTTTAAAACCGTGAAAGCCACCATCTTCATACAGGGCGGGGCAGCATTATGAATCTTGTATGAGAATGGGCAGAACTCATCCTTCTTATTCAAGAGCTCATTCTACAAGATCTATTTCCACTTCATGAGCAGAGAGGAATATGAGGAAATCTGCAAAGCAAATGATTTGGGCATCTCTTCTCATTCATAAAAAATTACAAAGTGGAAGTCTCATCTTCCTCTGATATTGCCTTAGGTCAATAGGTTTGCAGTCTGTCATCCCGCCTTGGTTCCTTTACTTTTCTGACTGTTTTAACTTTCAGACGATATATACACACACTACCAAAATTTCACAAGTGATGGCCAGTTTGCCCTGTCTCGCATGGAGAGCCACAAACGTGAAAGGAACAGTAGAATGGGCTGAGATGACATTTTGTTCACAGCATTGACTACAAGCATTTGAGCATGGATGGGTCTTTAACACACCAAGTTCTGAGGACGACTGTTCTTTCAAGTATTTGTGATCTGCTTCCTCTTGGTAGACAGCAAGGGAAAAACAGCAGAAGGCAATAAAGTTTCAGTTTCACTGAGCATATCCTTAGTTTAGTTATTGTATACACTGACAAAGCTATAGCTTTGAGGATATTCAAAAAAGAAGTGTGGGAAGAAAATGTTTTGACTAGCAGCATGGTTCACACTAATCCTATTCTCTTAGTCATTTTCAGAGATGTGTTTCAAGTGATGACAGCTTCTCCTTGAAGTATATTTGCTATTCTGATTATGCATTAATTAAAAGTATCTGAGTTGTAAATATCTTAAGGGAAAACCGAGTTGACATTGTTCTTTTCCTGCTAAATTTGAACTAGTTTCTTCTCCAAAATACTGCTAAATTATTTAGAATATTCAATGACTATCCCTTCCACATAGAATTGCATACAGTTTCCGGTCTATCTATACAGTAAAAACAAAACAAAAACACCCAGAAGTGTTTTTAATGTATTTTGCAAATGCATGCGATGCTGTTAAAATAGAAAGAGAAAACTATGCCTGAAAACTCTTAAGGAAAAAACAATTTTTCCATAATGATTTTCAGTTATTTTGATGTCAATAAAATGATGTTTTTAAAGGATTCACGGTAAAGCAAGAGACAAGTAAACAAATATTAGGGTCTGAATAATATAAACAATGTGCGCACATTATGCAATCATAGTAAGTTTAAATTTGCCTTTATTTCAAAGGTAATTTGAAAAGTTATAAATTTGTATGTCTAGTTATTGCAGTTAGAAAGTGATTGAGGATTTTTAAGGAGCTTATTTTTCAAAACCATAATTACACAGTAAAATTTGACCTAAGAGTGACATCACTTTTAATTGCACCACTGACTTAATATTCCTGAAATAAGGAATGTCTGCCTGATAATTTTACTAGTTCTATGTTTTCTCATCTCTACTGATAGCCCCACCCGCTCCCATTAAAAATGTAAAAATTCTTTCCTTTTTCCCCACTTTCTTCACTTTCATCTTGAAATTAATATACTTGTTTTTGTTTACAGTGTTTGTGTACCAGCATTGCTGGAAGCTAGCACAGTTCTATGGTTAATTAACTGATGATACAGCAAACAAAGGCAATAAAGGACAAACTTTCTTGTTGGTTATATCCTACATAAAGAGAGCATCTATTTTTATTTTTAAATGTGCCAATGAGAGGTTCCTTTTAAACCGAGTCAAATTTAAGCTTTATAAATTTAAGCTTTCTGCTACACACAGTTGGATGCCTGAAAAGCTATGACCAGGCAGGAGCCATGGACCCCCTATGAAAATCTGCCTTGTTCACACTTCTGAGCCACGGGGGGCTCCAGGACAGAATCAGGGACACGGAATGGGATCCATGCACTGTCACACACATCCACCTCATCCCCTAATGTCTCTTTTCTCACTCGGTTTAATTGTGCTCCTAAACAAGTCATCCCTGTGGTGAGCTGTGTGGGAATACTGATTGTCTGGTTGGCCAGAATACAGGTCCACTTTAATGCTGCTTTTGAAATGGTCACATATTTCTGTGTTTGCCCTAATTGCATGTAGGACCTCAATTTGCTCTCGACTCCCAAAGATATTATTAATCAAATAGTGATATAATGTTGAAGTACAGTTGGTAATATTTTGGCCCTAATCTAGTGAGTTGACAGTTCCCTTTACCAATAAATCAAGCGTTACCTGCAGATTGTCTAGGATGATTCGGAGAGACTGGACTTGTCTTCGGACAGCTCCAGAGAACCTTTCGTAAGTAGATGCATCATATTCACTCATCCGGATCTCCTTTAATCTGAAGCAAGAAAGAGGCTAAAAAATTAAGAATGGAATCATGCAAAAAAGCATCTAATCCATTTCTACAGGCAGGGGTACATTTATTTGTTGATAATGGCTAAGCTCCAACAAGAACGGACAGACTCTGAGGAGTAGCAGCTGCTTTTATTGACTTCTGAAGCGACAGTTAATAACGGATGTCCACACAGCCTACATCACATTTAAAATGTATTGAGGGTATTAATCCTTTAGCCGTCTCAGATCCTTTTGTTTTAGCGATTAGGCTGCAAGTCATATATTTCAACAACTGTGATAAAATTACACAAGCGTTTGCTGGCTCAGGTGTTGTTATATGTACATAAAGGGAGTTGTTAGGGTGTGTATTTTTTACCTCATTTGCAATGCATTTTAAACATTCTGGGTAACCGACATTTAACACAAAGATAAGGTCAAGTAGTGCTCTGCAAGTCTGTCCCCATAGACCTATAACTAGTTAGTACCTTTTAAACACTCTCTACAAAACAAAGAAACCTCAGAACAAATGGAAAGTTTTGAACAAATGTTTAAAAGAATTGTCCTGAACACAGAAGACAGAACACAGAGCTCAGTGTTGTTAGGAGGTCTAAAATAGAGAATTATTTCTGAGCTGCTGATACTGGTATATATATTTTATACCATTCCTTGTAGGGCTGGTCTACACACAGATGTTCTACTGCTTTATCTGTTTCTAAGCAAATACAGTGAAAGCAGTGCAACGCTCTACTGTGGATGCAGTTATACTGGTACAAAGGTGTTTATATCTGTATAGCTTATTTCCAGTAGAAGTACACCAGTACAACTGCATCCACTCCAGGAGGCTGCACTGCTTTAACAATATTGGTTTTTAATCAGAGATAGGTAACGTGGTACAAAAACAGCGGGTAGACTAGACGAGGTAAAACTTAATTCATGGTAACATGGTGAGATGCATTAGGGCCGAATCCAACTCACAGTGAAAGCAATAGAAAGACTCCCATTGTCTTCAGTGGGAGTTGGATCAGTCCCTTAATGAATAATGAAACAAAGATTACAACTTTGTTTTATTTACTATGATCTTAATGTTTTTCTACACTGAATTATACACTTAGTGAGACAGTCGTTACAGAAGATTATTACAGCACCATAGCTAGGAAGAGGCAAATTCTCAACATTGTGCACGGAGACAAAACAGGTGAGGTAAAATCTTTTATTGGACCAACTTCTGCTGGTGGAAGGGATAAGCTTTTAAGCTTCACAGAGCTCTTGTTCAGGTGTGGGGAAGGTAACCAGAGTGTCTAAGCTAAATACAAGTTGGGACAGATTGTAAAGCATAAGGGGCTCATATATGCTGAAAGAGACCACTTAAAATGAAGTAGGCAGTTATTGGTTAGCAAGCGGAGACGAGGGCATGTGTGGTGTTGTGATGAGCCATAAAACCAGTCTCTGCTGAGTCCATGGTTTTTAGTGTATAGCAGAGTTATCTTGTCTCTCTCATATCCTGGGACCAACACGGGTACTGCAAACAATATTGTGCACTGGCATTTATCTTGGTGACTCCTGGAATCTGAGTTTAATACCTTCACAACACAGAGAAAATGTACCTCCTAATGATCATGTTTTACTATAGTAGTCTATGTGCTGTTGTATTAATTTAAATGCAATAAATGGGCCAAAGGTGTTAACATAATCCATTCACTGCCCAACATTAAACAGTGTTAAAGGTCTGAAGTTTGGTATACAGAGACCTCAGCCTGCTCAGTATAATGGCAAACATACTATTAAAAATCCTTTTAACCTTTGAAATGTAAAGTATTAAGTAAGGCTTTCATTTTAACAACAATTCTTGCTCCCTTTCCCTTCAGCAGGAGAGAGTTTTTAGAAGGAAAATCCCCACTGTTTGAGAGTCTATTGGAAGGTAAAAACTGTCCTTCTGAGGAAAAGAGAAGAAGTTAGTTGAGATGAGCTAGAGCTGTTGTTGTTACTGCTGTTTTAAAGTCCAATACCGTTTCATCTCAGGTGGTGTTTGGGACACAGCTGGGATTCAGCTGGATTCAAATCTTACATTAAACATAAAAAATATTAAAACAAAGTTTTGTTTGAAACTAACTTTGAAAACAATTGCTTATTTGCTGAAGTGCCATCTTCTGAGAGAGTCCCACATTGGGCTGCCAAAAATATTGCATTAATTTAGATGGAATAAATGGGCCAAGGTGCGAACATAACTGTCCAACATTAAATAGTGTTAAATCCTTGTTCCGTCTTCCTTTAGCCAGAGAGAGTTTTAGAAGGAAAAAATCCCCATTTGACGGTCTCTAAGATGGTACCGGAGATGGTAAATCTGTCCTTTTGAGGAAAAGAGAAGAAGTTAGTTGACATGAGCTGGAGCTGTTTGTTGCTGCGGCTGCTGCTAAAGTCTGATAGATACTGTTTCACCTCAGGTGGGTTTAGGATTCAGCTGGAGCTGGTAGGGGTGGTGATGTTATCTGGATCCCTCTCTCTGCCTCAGTTTGGTCAAGACACCTCAGAAGTAGGATAAAGCTAGGGTCTAGGGTCTCAGGACATGGTGGGGGAGGCAGTCATGATAGAGAAGCTCGCTCCAGTAGCCTCCGTCTGGTTCTTCTCTATTCCACCCACCCAAAGTCTTTCTTTAAGAACCCACAAAGGGAATGGTGGGTGGAATAGCCCATCCCCTCATTATTTTGTCCATCAATTAAGCATAATATCAGACATACCAATTCTGGTTCATTAATTTCCAGTTCCAGATATTCTGTTTTTACCAACAATGAATTTAACAGTCCTTGAACAATACGAGTAGGCCCTTTCGTTTAGACTAATTCAACTTTTCTATCTCCTTTTTGTATTTTTCCCCATCAACATTAGTTAGTATAGGTTATTGTGACATCTTGTGAACTTTCACATACTTTTTACAGTTGAGCTCACGAGAGTAAATTTATAGGCCCAATTATCACAACAGTGACCATCCACTATGAAAGTCCGCCTGCCAGAAGTAGCTTGATTACACTACTGTTAACATTCACATGTCCCTCCAAATATTTACAAAGGATTGTCTCAAATGTCAAGGTGGATGCTAAATGAAAAATGATAAAATCAGCAGACTGCAGTCTATTAGTTTGATGTCTACAGTTACAGTGGTTGCACCATTTATCCTCTCCCTACAGAGGATACTGCAAGATTAATAAGAAAATCACAGTGCTTAGTTTAGAATTAAAAACAGTTCAACGAAAGAGCTATGCAATATCTGAGGTTTTGCATAAGTTGTCTGATTTTTGAGAGCTCAAAAAACACATTGTGCTTACAGGTATGGCTGAATAGTATGATCACATTACACATACAAATGCACCATGTGTTATTTTAGTTATGATGAAATCTGGAAATAATATGACAGGTTGTACCAGCTTTCTGAAAAAATCTCTTGTAAGGTGTGAGGAACTCTCGGAATTCTAGAAGTTGAAGTTGGTGTGGGGAGTAGCAGAATAAACAGAGGCAACTTTTATTCAACTGATAATGTCAGTGATTTGACGTGTTTTCCATAGCCAGTAGTATTCAGCCAGGAAATTTCAGGAGTGATAATTTTAAATCCTAGCCTCCCACTCAGAACTGCTAAACAGGCTGCACTATATTTAAGTAGTCCTTTCAGATAATTACATGTAAACAGTGAATCTTGCAGCTGACCCGCTCTCAAAAAAACAAAAAAACAAAAAAAGGCCCACTCCTTTATTGGGATGGTGGGGTTTTACAGGAGATTTGTACCCCACTTTAACTCCCTAGCTGCTCCTATCATTGAATGATAAAAGCATAAGCCAGACAAAGTAGTCTGGATGGAACAGTGTCAAACAGCTTTCTGTGAACTGAAGGAAACCTTAAGCAAAGATCCAGTGTTGATAAACCCAGACTTTGACAAACGCTTTATGGTCTTCACAGATACCTCAGACACTGTGTTGATGCAGACTAATGCTTAGGAAGAGAGACATCCAGTTGCACAGCTGAGTACAAAACTGCTCCCCAGGGAAAAGAATTATGGAACTATTGAAAAGTAATGTCTTGCAACTATGTGGGCTCGTAAGAGTATGTATGGAAGAAGAAGATCTGTATGAGTGGCACTTTACTGTATATGGATCGCTTGCCTGGCTCAATCATATGAAAGGTTCTAATGCCAGGTTGTTATGGAGTCTAACACTCCATAATTATGATTATGGAAGTAATTCATATTAAGGGAAATGCAAATATTATTGCTGATGTGTTGTCCCAAGGAAGGGCTTGAATGTCCCTAGATCACTGGGAGTAATCCCACTCAGTTTGTTCTTAAAGGGGGAATAGATGTGGAGAGTGGGGGAATTTTTGTAATATTTTTATGAAGCATTATTCAGTTTACCCATTGACTTTGTATGTCTAGCCACTGAGTGTGAAGAGATTAATTTCTACTCGGGGACAAGAGCAACGAGAGAGATGTTGGAATCATATAGGTGTCGGCCTATCTGGGTGGGACCAAAATGCACCATCAAGAACTGAATGGAATCAATACACATAAATGGAGAGACAATGGAAGACCCAAGCATTGGACATTAACTTGTGAACACAGCTTAGCTGTGTCTAGAAACAAAGCGTATGTCTACACTGCAACGTAAGCCCAGGGTGTGTGGGGCTGAAGCATGCAGACTGTGTGTTTGCAAGTCCAGGCCTGAGAGTCCACGCTGATTTAGAATTTCTGGATCCGGGTCTCCCACCTGTGCTCATGCATCTACACCAGGGGTTCTCCGACTGGGGGTCGGGACCCCTCAGGGGGTCACAAGGTTATTACATGGGGGGGGTCGCAAGCTGTCAGCCTCCACCCCAAACCCTGCTTTGCCTCCAGCATTTATAATGGTTTTAAATATATTAAAAAGTATTTTTAATTTATATGGGAGGTCGCACGCAGAGGCTTGCTATGTGAAAGGGGTCACCAGTACAAAAGTTTGAGAACCACTGCTCTACTTCTCCCTG